ACTGCAGAATGCAGCTTGTCACAACACTAGCTGATACACTGAAGCCACTTCAGTGGGTTCCTAGACCACTTATGTAGCAGGGGGAGCCTGAACTAAAAGGGGACCTTATCCTCCAAAAGATAACTCCAGTTTTCTGAGGAGTTTCCCGCTCGAACATGTTAGAAAGATAATACTGACAACTGACTGCCATGAGATAGTAAGTAGTGAGTGCTACCAAATACATATTTACAATAAACATGCTTATCATTAGGGTCCAAAGGGGTTATTACTGGGAGAAAAATGAGAACCAGAATTTTCACAATTTATATTTTTTGGCTTTTGGCACTTTGCTGCAATTGCTTAATTGGATTTGTGTGTTATTTTGGACTTCAATATGAAAATACAAAAGAGGACCATATAATTTGGCTAAATTAATATTCATCAAACACCCAGAAGATAAGGTATTGTATCAGGCACGGTGTTACAAACCTATGTGAGTTACAGGCTCCTCAAAATGAAAGGGAAGAGAGTTTTACAAAGGTGGCAATTAATCTGCAAGACAGAAAATTTATAATTTTTTATCAGAATGTTCTTTCTCTGCAGCTTCGATATCAATAACCTAAGCTCTCTCTTCTCTAAACTTCTAATCCACAGAAGATCTCTCACCCTATTGTCCTTGGAGAAGAATCTGCTCTAGCAGTCTAAAGTTTTCATATTTTTCTTCTTCATGGCAATGCCAATATGGAATGATAGTCATTGCAAATATTGGTTTTATGACATGTTTCCAAGTTGTAAAGGGAAAAATAGGGAAATTCCATAACAGCACTTGGTGTTCCCTGTCCTGTAGAAAGAACTTTATCTGTTTTGTCTCTATTTGGAGAACATATTCATTCAGATGCTGCAACCCACTTATTAATGTGATCATAAAATTATCAATGAAGCCAAACCCTACAACCTGGAAGCTTCAAGGACAATTAGATAGGTTATCAGAGCAGTAAGCACAATGGATTACGTAGTTTTAAGCCCTCTACTGAGAACACCCTTGTGCTTAATAAAATTTTAGCAGACATACCCTGATTGACATTAGCTGCTGGCAGCCACCTGTGAATTAACCACATGACACAGGTCAACACTTTAAATTTCATCCACAAATTAATCTCTCACTGACTCTCATGGACTTCAAGCATTTGATTCCTTTAAATAAAAGAGCCTCAAGAAAGCCTTAGAAACATACTGAAGGATCTTTCCAAGATAGGATGATGATAATGAAAGATCCTGAAAATACTCCCAGGCGTGGTAGAAATATGATGGACCCTCTATCACAGAAACAAAGAACAGAGTACCACATGTTCTCACTCATAAGTGGACCCCGAACAACTACCATCATACTTTAAGAAAGGGATTGGCAGTAGCAGGATACAACCCGGGCAGGGGTGCCAGAGGGGACACAACATCAATAAGGGTACCTGATCTCAAACCAGGTGAAGTGGGAACCAAAGGGAGGCTCAAACTTTACCTGCATGAGTCCACTTGTATACCTGAGTCCTGAATTGTACCCCACATCTCTAAAATAAAAAATAAATAAGATGGACCACCAACTTTTTCTTTTCAGTTGGCCGAAAAAACAGTGTCCATAGATCCGTCTCTATACAAAGAAGACAGGACAACTGCTTTGCTTCTTCCCATAGACATCCATCAACCCGTGCCATTTTCTCAGGCACAGGTGAATTGGGTTAGGTTGTGAATAAATGAAGAGTAAGGAAACTGAATGAAAGTGATCTTACAGGAGAGGATTGAGAGTAAAAGTCAAGAGGAAGTGTTTCCATGTCATTCTTTCAACTGCCTCGAAGAAAAACTCTATTAGTGGCTTCCTGTTCCATTGAAAATAATGACCAAAGGGCTTCCCATTTCATAGGACCTGTCCTCATCTCTCTCCACTCTCACTTGTTGAGTCTATTCTAGCCACTCTGGCTTTTTGTGTTTTTTTTTTTCCTTTTCCTACCTTGCAAACGCATGAACACCATTCCCACTGCAGGATGTTAATACGTGGTGGTTCTGCTTGCAACACTCAACTGTGGATCATCAGATGAATGACTGCTTTTTTATTATTATTCAGGTCTCATTTCAAATGTCACCTCCTTAGAGTTCAAGGTGAATCATCCCTTCACAACACCTTCTTACAACTCAGCAGTACCAGAAATCATCTAACCATTTGTTCATTCATGCATCTGTATGTTGCTCACCAGCTCGGCTCACTTTACTGTAGGCTTCGTGAGGACAGACTCTGTCTTACTTGCTCATGTCTCCTCTGTAGCCAGAAAAATGCATGACACTGAGTAGGTATTTAATAACTATTTACTGACTGACTTACAGCAGGGGAAAATGTGTGCTTTCTATAAAATCATTAGAACACAGTCTTTTCGGCAGGAACTTTAAAAGGCAATTTCTTACTAAAGAACTCCAAGGTCCTAGAAGACAGAATGCTTGCGTATTTCAGGTGCCTGAAGCCTTTGTCCTGTCATTGCCAGGTTTGTTGACTATCCCAAGCTGCCAATTACACATAGTGCAGAACACTGGTCCCAAGATACAAGCAAGGTAACAGGGAGTATCAGAAGCCTGGGGTCTAAGAATAATGAGATCCTGACCCTGAAGCGAATGTATTCTCCTCTGTAAAGTGAGGCTAGTATAATTAATTGGAAGGCTGAAGGCTTAAGTGCAAGTGAGATAGGGGGAAACTCTAAGATACTGGGCAAGAAAGATGTGCTGATGTTGATGAGGCCTCAGAGAGATCTGTCCCAAGTTCCAGTGCAGGAAGATTCTGTAGGCTTGGAATTCACTTTCCGAGGCCAGAAAGAGTGCCTTCAGATAATGGTCAAGAAATATCCCAGGTTTTGCCTGCTTTGGGAACTTAAAATTTGGATATGACTAGCACACACAGAAAACTCTTACATACCCTTCTCCTGAACACTGGCTGGACCCGCAAGTTGGCGACCCAACCGTTCAACAGCTGTACGAGTCGGTCAGCACAGAACATGTCATTGCTAGGATATGGGCTCGAGGAATGTACACAGTTCTCTGCACAAAACAACCTTGATCAGAAATGAGCTTAGGGCCAGACCCCGGTGGAATAAGCTGATAAAGAAAGGTATTAAGTCTGTACAGGACATGAGAGAAGGGAGAAGGTTGATGTCATGACATGGAGGAATCCTGGCATGGAGTGGACAAATCTGGAGCCAGGTGAAGATTTGGAAGGAATGCACTCTTGGGGCTTGGGTCAAAAGGAAAGAGCCAAGGAGGGAAAAGTACAGGGTGTGGTGAGGAACGAATAAGGGAAGGGGTGAGGCATAGGCTGTTCATCGTCCTCTCTCCTGACAAAGCCAAAGGGAGAATGGGAAGACCAGATGTGGGTATCCAAGACGCCCAATATGACAATGACTAAATGGCAAACACAACCATACAGATTCCAATTCTGGTTCAGATATAACAAACCACAGAAAATGCCTGGCAGCATTTTGAGGCAGAATAGGGTCACTTGATCAACAAGCTGTATAGAACTCAAAGGTCGTGTCCAAGTTAATCAAGCCCACTGAGATAATCTTTGCATTGCGTAGACAATCCTTTTGTCAAATGTTTACGTAACACAAAACATAATGAGGAAAACAAAAAGTTATTTTCAATTTAAAATCCATGATGCATACAAGAGAAGTTTACATAACGAAGGTGATAAAAAATATTGACTAGCAATGTTGACAGAAGACCTTCTGTGCACGCTATTACTCTGCTGAGTGTCTCTGTCCATGTAAATCTGCCTCCAAAGTATTTATAAGCCAATTCAGATGGAAGCTTTCCTCTTGCCACAAATTTAACACATTCTGGTTACCATGTTTGTTCCCGGGTACAACATAGCATTAACAAAAAAAAAAACACCACACCTGCACGTTAAAAATATCAGAGAGGAAAAGCCAGCTGAAGTAATCAGTAGTTTGTAAAAGCACAAAGCACCCCCATACTAGTTCCATGGTTGACTGGGCCAAGAGATATCCAAGGCAACTCTGGCCTGATCAACAAAATCCTTATAATGAAACCTTTAAGATTATACAAACTTCAACGGTATATTACAAAAACATTCTAAGGTAATTTTCTTTTTCTTACTAGGAGGAGAGTCAGGAACCTCCCTCCCTACCCACAGTCACCAAAGGTTAAACCTGCCTGGCCTCATAGGGCTTACAGAACTCATGAGAAAATATAACGAGAGACAGTAAGCCATAAGGTACAATGATGGCAGTAAGATATTCCACCACAAAGGTCAGCAAGTTATTTTCTCTAGAGAGCCAGAGTGTGAATATTTTGGGATGTGCAGATCAAAGACAAAAATCAAGGCTACTCTATATGTATATTACTATAAAAAGCGTTCACGGTGTTTATTGTCAAAATTTAAAACTTTATTAACGGACATTGAAATTTAAATTTGAGATGATTTCCATATGTCACAAATGTTATTTTTCTTCAGTTTTTTGAAGCACTTGCCAATGTAAAATCCGTGTTTAGTTTGCCGGACTATACAAGGCTGTACGATGGTAGAATTTAGCCAAAGGCTACAGTTTGCCAACCCCTCTTCTAGAGGGACAGGAGGGGACGAAACAAAAACAAGCCATCGAGTCAGCATGAATTTATTTCTGTGGTTGGTTTTTCCTCAAAGTTTCTTTAACACACCATAAATATAAAACTGCCCTGAAGCATCCCAAATTCCCTGTGCTTATAACAAAATCAGATTATTTACCTCATCTGGTAGCTTATGTTCACATCCTAAATTTAATTTAAATATCATCTTAGCTGTAGGTGTTGCAGTGGCTCTGTAGAATAAAGGCAGAGACGGGAGCAAAATGGGAGACACACATTAATCAATTTCCATGACCATGACGAGCCTGGCATTGGGGAAGCATCTGATTTGAGGCGTCTGCTCTGTAAACCAGTGACCCCCCAACCACCACTTGTAATGTTCTCCTGTTCTTATCTTGTAGGCTTTCATATCGGACGGGGCAAGACACAGCTAATTGTGACACATGCAGGAACAGTGCATGTATTATCTATAGGTATGTCAATGTTCTCCTCTTCCCACTTTTTTATTATGAGTGACAAATGATGTTTACCCACGAATGCAAGAGCCATCTGGGGCCATGCTGGGATGATTCCATCAGAAAGTGAGGGACCTCACTGGACCATAATTCTAGGCTATTTACTCCACCCCTGGTGTAGAATCATGGGATGAGGGAGAGCTTGAAGCCATCTATCTTGCAAATGTATCTTAGTGGTTTCAAGAACTGGTCTAAGTTTGATGGCTTGCTCCCCTGGAATCCATAGCCATGAGCCCTGTGCTGTGTGTTCTGGAAAGGCTGTAAAATACAAGCCCTTCAGAGGGTATAGATCAAAGGCTTGAAGCCATACCAGATGTGTAGGCTGCTCACACCAACGGTGCAACTTTATTTCCTAAGAACTCGCAAGGACTGTGGCACTTGTGTGCCTCGGGGCAGAATTCCCTCTCTAGAGTCCCTACAACTGTTCCTTGTGTTTTGTAATTTGAAGTTTGTTTCTGTTACTGACATGAACAAGAATACAGCAGAAACTTTAAACAGGCAAACCCTGTGTTAGGCTTTCACCAGTTATTCAGGATTTTAAGACATGAGAGGTTGCTGGCTTTTTTTTCTTTTTAGAAATGTAATTTTCACAAACGATATAGCAGTGAGAAATGTTATGATTTAGTTCATTTTTAAAAAATTAAGACTGAAGGAAACATTGTCGTGATCTGCCAAATTAGCAAAGTACGATTATGACTGAATAGTCATGTGTCTTAAAATGTGTAAAGGGACCCCATGGCCCTTCCCCCAAAATGCCTTCTAAAAAACTCTTCAATATTACCACCCTCTGAATTAAGAAGACAGACATGGAGACAGCAAAAAAGTTTGAGGAGACACAATCCTGGACCAATTAGGTTTCTCTCCCAAAAGAAAGCATGGACTTGGCCATGTACCTCTCCAATCCAGGCAGAGCATTCCAGACAGGGCCAGGTTCTCTCTCTCTCTCTATTTTTTTTTTGGAGTCAGGGTCCTGCTCTGTCACCCAGGCTGGAGCACAGTGGCACAATCATGGTTCACTGCAGCCTCAACCTCCTGGACTCAGACGATCCTTCCACTTCATCCTCCCAATTGGACTACACACGTGTGTCACTATGCCCAGCTTTTTTATTTTTCTATTTTTTATAGCGATGAGGTCTCACAGGTTGTTCTCGAACTCCTGGACTCAAGCAATCCTCCTGTCTTGGCCTCCCAAAAGTGCTAGGATTACAGGCGTGAGCCACCGCCCCTGGTCAATGGCTCCAGTTCTTTAAAAGCAGAGTTAGGTCACCTGGAGACCTTGTCTGAGAGCAGGCAGAAGAAGCCACAAGGTAGACATGAACAGCAGATGCCACATTAACACATTCCTTATGGCAGAGATTCTCAACCAAGGGGACATTTGGCAATGTCTTCAGTTGTCACAACTGGAGAGATGCTGTTGGTATCTAATAGGTAGCGGTCAGGAGTTTGCTAACATCCTAAGCTACACAGAAAGAGTTATCCAGTCCAGAATGTCAACAGTGCTAAAGTTGAATAGCTTACCCATCTGGAACCATCCCTTACGCTAAGGTCTTGTAAAAAGCATACACAAACTGCTAAGGCCTCCTGGCAGCAGGCAGCAAGCCAGGACTCCTGCAGCAGCCCGACACAGCCCATGCTAAGCCACTGATTGTTCTTTGCTAATGCCAGTGAAGAGGTTAAAGTCAACACCCACGCAAGTCTTTTCTCCAAGGACTCTTCTAAATTACAAACTCAGAGATAGCAACTGATCAGAAAAACGTAGGGAAATTTTTCACTATGTTCATGTTGTGGAAGAGAACTTTGAATCACCGAGAAGGGACACAACTTTGACAAAAATAACCTTTCTCTAACATCAATAAACTAGGAGACGAAGTGAAGATTGCAGATCACCCAGCATATCCTCAGAGTCCAACTTTCCTTACTTTGGGAGCTAAAGCTCATTCTGTCTTTGAATACAACAATGCATGTGTGAGCAAAGACTTCCAGAGGAGGTCAGAGAATGAGTTTGCTTGGGTTAAACCTATTCAATACTCTGTGGGTGATTGAGGAGAGAATTTATTAGGACACTGTCCAATGGAACTGAAATAATTGAAATAAATTTAGCTCTAAATCCAGAACTAACTCATGTAAAAAGTGATATGAAAAGTGACTGAACCTGTCTGTGAAGGACAGGAATTCGTCTTTCCAGGAATTAGTCTCGAGTGGTTACTATTTTGAATCCGCTCAACCAGCATGCTGTATCAATCCCAATACATCAGCCGCTGGCTCACTTTCCAAAAGAACTGGCTCTCCAAGCACCGCAGAAATTTGCCAGAATTGAGGAAGGCTCTCCAGGTAGAGAGATCGAGGTATTGTGACCACTTTTGGTTATCTCGTATGAACTGGGAATATGCATGTGCCCTCACAGAGACCCTTCTCTGGGGTTGCAATTATACAGCCTATTGATTTGGTGGTGTGCATCCTCAGAAACGGAACAAAAATGAGGCCCTCTGCAGCCTCGCAGACCTTATTGTCAGCCCTGCATACCTGTGAGAAGCATCCCGGAAAAGGCAGTATTAGAGGAAAATGGAGTTTTAGGTCTGTCTTTCAGGAAAGTGTTTTCAAATCACTCCCTCCAGGCTGGTCCCAGAATATTCTGTCGAGTAACATTTCAGCTAGACTCCCTTGACTCCCCATTTTCATTGAGAGGGCTTCTATAATCCCATCTGGATACCAAAAGACTGGTCTACTAGAAGGAATGGACAGCTGTACTGGCTCTCTGAAGACTCGGGTCTAGCTGATTCTGCCTTGGTGGCTGAGAGCTGTAACTGCCCTCGGGACCCCCGTTTACCAGTAAGAAAGGGAAGGGTGAGCAAGGAGAATGGAGCTAGATGCTCTCTCAGACTGCAGTCAAGTCCATAATTCAATCTTCAAGCGTCAAAAGCTTCTTTAAGCATAGAAGTTTCTTTGGTAGAGAAAAATATTCAGAACCCCTGTAATTCCTTGAGCAGGAGAAATCACCTGTTCAGGTGACCCTGTAGCAATGCTCATGGGTGGCCACAGCATCTCAGAAGTATAGACCCAAAGTGAGCCAGAGGCTGTTTCCAAATTTCAAAGGCTTTATTGATTAAAGTCCGTTTCTTGTCCTCCCCATGGAGACCTGCAAACAAGTCCTCCTTCATTCCCTGTATATGACTCTACAAGAAAGACAATCCCAGCAGAAGGGGAAAGTGTAGCTCTAAGTCAAAGGTTTGCAATCGATTCAAAGCCAGGCTCTTGGATACAAAGGCCTTCATCCTAGACTTCAGGGACTTTCCCTTTCTCCATTCTCCCAATTAGATGCCTGGAGCACCTTGGGATTGAATAGGTGCAAAGAGTTTCAAAATAAAGAAATCTTACAATGCCACAGTGACTGTGGTTGTTCCAGAAGCTTGAGAACAGGTGGGGCCATCACAGCAGCCAGTGTCCACATGTTGCAATTTGTCATTCCCTGCTTTCTGGAAGGTGGAAAACCCTGGAGGGCAATGACTTTGACCCTGCTGTCTTGCATGTAAATACTCCTTTTCACTGGAACCCAATTACCCTCTCAGAGCTGCATAGCTATCTATGTGTTTCCAGGATCGCTTGGCCCAAGGAAATGAAAAGGGTACCTTGCTCAAGACCTGGGTGGCTGTCTGGGGCTTTATCAACACCGTCCTGTAATAAATGTGTACCTCTGCCATGGGTGGCTGTACATATTTCTCTGTAAAAAAATAATTCTGTCATGGAAATATACAGGACTTGGAAAAAACATCAGAAGGACAAAAGGTCTTGAAGCAATTTCAGGGAAAAGGGCTGCCAGTACTACAAGAGAAAGGTTAGAAACATCAGCCTATCAGCCTGCTGTGCAGATACCAGGCGCCCCAGGGGGTTAGGGGATAGGGCTGAGTTTCTACCTTCCCTCTTGGGCAGGGTGCCCATTCAGTCACCAAGTCCTGTAGGATGGCACTAAGGGATCAAGAAGATCTCTTCCAGATGTGAACTCCCAGGAGCTAGTTTTTACGATTACAAAGGGAATGGATTTATGAGCTCCAACAAAGAATATGTGTGGAGGTGGATGGTCACAAGGTATTTTTCAACCAAAAAGCACCCACTCACTTACTGGCAAATCGATTTACGTAGAGCCAAACCACACTTGCTCAGAGAACTGACGGTCCTGTTCCTGGAACACTGAAACCCAAATACCAAAAGCGATATTTTTGACAACTGGAAATTTTGAGATGGTTGACATGCTTACATTTCTAAGACGACAGATATCCCTTCGATTGTGATCTGAGACCCACTGTGATATTCTAATTAAAGACCATCTCAGCATGAAAGAAGATTAAAAGAGATTCAAGTTTCAGTTTTCTTTACTAAGACTTTTCTGGCTTATCTTCCATATTTCTTGTCAAAATATGCTACAGTAATTTCAGAAAATGTTTTAAGGATAAGTTACTAATATAGTCTTTACTCATAAGCAGTTGAAATCTTTTATATCCAGCCTTATTTTAGTAATTCTTTTGTCAGACGAATCTGATGAGTCACACCAGAGATGATTCACCTTTTGTTCAGATTTGGTTTCAGAAAGAAACAATGAAACATACCACCGGCAAATCCATCTTTTTTCTCCTTTACTGAAACGGTTAATTTGTAAAACAAATACTGCAACAAAATGGTCTGCATTCTAATTCATCCATTTTCATGAAAATAACAAGTACCAACCTCAATTCAAAGACTTTGGAAGAGATGGACACAAGATTTAAAAGATAATAATAATTCTGACTTAGATGGACTATGTAGTATCTCTACCAGAATTCACAATCTTCGGAAGTGTTAGAATTCCAACTGTCAGTTATAAGACCTGAGTGACTGCATCTCCTAGGCCTACTTTGTTTCTGTATCATTAAGGCCACCACATAGGTGGCCTCAAGTGATACCAACAATTCTTTCTGCTGAGCATC